ACCCAACTAATTGTAGTGAGAAACCTGTCTCAAACAGCCATAGTTTATGAACAACTAACTGAAATGATCCAATAGACTAAATAAGTATAGAAGGAGAAAACAACTGCATTCTATATCTTAATGACTTTGGTTATCACTTGATCTCCTCACCTCTTCCAAGATTAAATGCCAACAATTTTATTTGTCTTTCCTATACATATTTTTGTATTAATTCTTTCCAGGAAAATGTTTGTATGTATTTCAAGTCTTTCCAGAGTATCTAGTGTATCATGTAAATGATAGAATAGAAAATAGTGTTTATGTATATGTTCCACAGAATTCCCAAATTACTCTAACTCAGAGCAAGTTTCCCATTAATTTTGACCAGAAGTGAGAATAATAATCAGATCTCTTTTAGAAACAATATACAGATTCAAAAAAGCTGAGGTACATCTAGCTGAGATTTTGTTCTTTTACAGTGGACTTCACTATTAATTTCAGAAAACCTTAAAATCCAGAGTTTCAGAGTACTGTCTTACCGAGCATGGTCTTAGACCATTTCACAGAGATAAGCAAACATTACTAGTTCAAGTTTCACAGGTTTGTGACAGTACCCAAAACACATTTTAGATTATGACATTAACTCTTTGCTTTCTCAAGAAACCATTTATCTCTAAGTGGCAGCAAAATATTTTCAACTGGGTGCCTGTAGTCAGACACATAGATCTATGCTGAGATGCATAAAGTTCATCAGAAGTAGGCAGCCATAAAAGCACCTACAAGTCAGTGGTATATACTGACTTCAAGGCATGCTGAAAAATTAACATATGCTAAAAGCTAGGGATTTGGTTTGTTGGTTTCTCTTTTCTTTTCCTTTTGTTTGTTTGTTTGTTTGTTTAGGAGATGGCTGCTTCCAGAAATCTGAAGACCTAATACCTAAATGGTACATTCAGAAGTATCCAAATTTTTAATCCATGAAAAAAACTGTAAAAATGTTATTCATTCTGCCATTGGGCTACCCCAGCTTGTACAGCAGTAACACTTGCGTAGTTAGCTATATTCCTCATCCAAAACCCATTCCAAGAAATGCTAAAAAGTTTTTCATTTTAGAATCCTTACTGGAGAACTGAAAAGAGACACAGGTATTAAATAAGTCCTCAGGCAGAATACAACTCTAAGCAAACTAGAATATTCAACACTGCATAGTTTATTTGCACAGATAATCAACCAAGACTTTTTCTGGACTACAAAACTGGGTGCTGGCTTACTTGTGATAAGCTGTAGAGTACTATAACATGTTAGCTCATGCTTGGTGGCAACAGGTTTGTTTTCCAAGATTGTGTAATCCAAATTCCTTTTCTAAGAGGTGATTTTGAGAAGCACTATTAAATGGAATAATTAATGAGAGCACAGCATAGTAGAGAAGTAAAGTTGGTGTTTGTTGTTTTTTTCCTTCAAAAATTAAATGTATCTATTTGTAAAGAATTAATATGATTTTAGGAATGAGAATTTCTGCTAGTGCACTAAGTTTCTGCTTACATTACAATCAGGTCAGTGTACCCAGCTGTAGCACATGACAGAGATTTTAGGAACACAGTTAGGGTCACATTTACAATACAAATCGGGAATGTGTTGCAACTGCATTCTTTGATTTGATTGTAATGTAGATGACTGTAAGGCTAATTAAACATCATCTACTGTTCACAGGAGAAACCACCAGCTGTTGCTTAAGCACAGTTTAAAGACAGTTTTATACGAAACAGGTTATGACATGGTTTCACCAACCAACAAGGACTGAGATTTTTCCATGTTATAACAAGACTCTTAAGCACATTCAAAATATGTTTAATACAGGTTTTGCTAGCAAGGTACCAGGACACTTCAAAATTCATTGCATAGCTTCATAATAAATGTCTCCTGTATTTTGAGATAGATAAGTCAGTTTTCCTCTGCTGATAATTAACTGTTTGGTCAAGATAAATGGTGTTGGGCTTTATCTTCACAAGGGTTTGAGACAATATTTGGGCCTGTCAAACCCACAATTTGGGGGGAAAAAAATTAAATAATATCTCTCTCCCATACATTGCTTTCATCTGAAAATCAAAAAGCACCTTCTTGAGATCACTATCATTATCTCAATTTTCAGACAAGAAACTAAGACACAGGGATGTGCTGCTACATGCCCAAGATCAGACCAAAGACTGGTAGCTATGGTAGTTGAGGTACAATCCTATGTGTCAATAAGTTATTTCCCATTTGTACACAGGTGTTTCTATTTTGTAAAGCATTTATTATAATAATTCTGGTGATAGTGTAGAAGGATCCAGTATAAAAATTAAATTATAACAGAGCAGAGGGAGTATTTTTGAGGTAGAGTCCATAAGTCATTACAGCAAGTCAGTAAAGTCTCTAAATTTAATTTAGAGATGTCATCTTTTCAGAAAAAAAAAAAAAAAAAAGTTGCTGTAAAATGATTCCTTAGCAGCATAGAAAGTGAACACATAGTACTGCCTACATACAATTGACACAAGATTAACCATCAAAATTTTCTGGACAAATTAGAATCAGCACAAGGGTTTGGAACCAAATCAATAATTTGTATCATTTTAACATCCAGTCCTTGAAACAGTTTGAGTAACACCTAGTCTAGTTCTAGTGTTTTATTAAATAACTCCCCAAGTAGCAGGTATGTACTGTTAGTTTTAATCCCAAATTCATATACTCCTGACAGCTCTTGAGGAACAAAGATGTATGTAAAGATTGCACGTTTCAATGGTCCTAGAAAGCGGCAGTATTACCAACAAAACAGATTTGCAGGATCTGGCTATCTCTGGGAAACTTGTTTTTTTGAAGCAGCTACTGCTGCAGTCTCTGATAGTTTACTACAGACACTGATCACTGTGTTAAGTAATGTCAAGAAAAGTAATGAACATCATCATTCCCAGTTTTGGGAGCTTCTCTTGACTGGGTAAATTTGAAATGCATTTCAATTTGAAGAGTCTGTTGAGCTGACCTTGCTCTTGCTGGCAAGTTGTATGATTTTATTTCTTCTAGTTCATTTTATTTCTTCTAAGTGACCCGATCCTGCAGGTAACCAACACACAAAATCTCCCCTCGAAATCTCCCACCTGTCAGCATGTAAATGCTTCTTGCCACATTGTTTCCTTTGTAGTAAAGGTCTCTAAATAAGGTTACTTCACATGCAGAGAGGCCTAAGAAAGTGAAAGCAACCAGCTCCAAAGCAGGAATCTGACTAAAAGACCTCGGGAAGGCAGCACACCACCTTGAGGCACAGATGCAAAAGTCAGTATTTATTGTCTTAAAAACAACATCCTTACACCTGGCCCAGCATGGGGAGAACAGGACAGAAACCAAATAAGTTAAACCCTAGTTTTGATGTGTTCTACCCTCTTTTGCAACTTTCTGTTCAGTACAGGTAACCTGTTTTCTGTTACCAAGTCAGAGCACAGTGGCTCTACAGTGCATTTTATCATCTCATTCTGACATCTGATATTTCTTCCAGATTGTTACTCAAAGCTCTCTATCTATATGTGGTCAAGTACAATTCAGGTTTAAATCTTAAATGGTGTCACTTCTTAATGCCTCAGTGTAGCCATATGTAAAATGCAGATAATGACTTACTTCATCGAGGTGTGGTGTTTGTAAAATGTTTGAGAGTCTCAGATGAAAAGGATTGCTTCAAAATGTAATTATAATATTATGCCAGAGGTAAGGCATAGGCCTGTGATTCCATGTACAGTATTTAAATACAATTACTTATCTATCAAAATCAAGAATCTGTGCTATTTCTCCTTCTCTCAGCTCCCGATCCTCTTACCATTAATAATCTGAGTAATCCTGACTCCAATGGATCTGCTCACTTAGTCTTTCAGTAAGGTGTACTAGTAACAAACAGTAACTGCAACTCAAAAATTGTATCAATTCTCATGTAGCACTATTTTTCATAATTTTACGTGTTTGTAAGAGTCCTTAAGTTCTGGTGTCACAGTTGCATTAGAGGGGTACCTCCCTTTGACATTTCTGTAGATGCCCATTGGTACCAGAGGTATTTGTATACACTTTCTGGAATGTGAATTATTTTTGGAATGTGGATAATTTAAAATAAATGTAGATTAAGGCAAAAATAATTTTGCAAATTGCCCATCAGCTATGATGCACAAGAGCATCTACACGTAATTTCTAATATTCACATTGTTCTTAAGCCTTCTCGATTTGGTGTGTTATGTTCAACACCTCTTGGTAGCTGCAACCTTCCTGACAGTACTCCTACAGCGTGGCGTGTTTCCTGCACTTCTCTTTTTCTAGCAGGCATCAGATGGGTTTTCTCATGTCAGCCAAGCTCCAAGCGTCCCAGGCATTTCATGCAGTTACCAACTGCCACGTTTCAAGCCAACTTCAGGTTTTCTCCTGCTTTCCAGCAAAGCACAGGCATGACGGCAGCACCACGGATGTTTTTCTACCATGAGTGTTTTGCCCTCTGCGCCGCTGGAAGAGCGGGAATAACCACCTGTCTAGAAGTGAGGGTCACACACTAAGAAGGACACCGAAAGGGCTGAGAGGGGAAGAGCAGAAGCACAGACAGGGAGGGATGGAGAGAAACGATGCAAGGGTGCAGAAAATGGAACAGGGGGTTATGGAAGGGCAGAAGAGAGGCCACAGAAAAAGCAGGGCGGTCCCGCGCCTTCGTACAGGAGGTCTGGAAGGAGGATCTCAGGAGCTTCCAGGCCCACGCGTGCAGAGCCCTCCTCAGGTCCCTGCGCGTCCCTTCCCACCCCGATCCGTCCGGGGATGCTCCCGCTCCCGCTCCCGCGCGGGCCGGGCAGACACGTGCGCGCAGCTCCACGGCGGGTCCCGGCAGGAGGGCGGGGAAGGGGCCGGCGCCCCGCACCTGGCAGCTCTGCCCTCCTCGGGAGGGCTGCTGCCGGCACCCGCTCGGATTGGCAGGAGCCTGCGCCCTCCTCTTCCTCCCTCCTTTTCCCTCCTCCGCGGGGTGGGTTTCAGCCCTCCTCCTCCTCCTTCCTTGGGGAGGGGGGAAGAGTTTTAAAAAAAAAGAAAGAAAAAAAAAAAAGAAGGAGAAAGAGAAAAGAAATCCCAAGTCGCGTCCCCGACGTCTCCGGGCCCCGCGGCCGCAGCGGCCTCCCCACATTCCTGGCATTCCTGGGCCGTGACTCCCCGCGCCGCTCCGGCCCCAGCCCGGCCCCGGCCCCGCCGCCTCCGGCTCGCCTGCCCGCCGGCCCCGCTCGCCCCCGCGGGACACCAGTCCCCTCCTCCCGCCCTGCCTCCCTCCTTCCCGCACCCCGCGGGCGGCAGCAGGAGCTCAGGGCTCCCCGGCCCTCCGCGCCGCCACCGGCGGCCGCAGCTCCGGCCGCCCCGCACAAGTTCCCCGCGGTGGCCGGGCCGGGGCGGCGGGAGCCGATCTCGTCTCCCTCCCCAGCGCCCGCGTCGGGTCCCGTCGGCAGCCGCTGCCTTCCGGGCCGGGACAGCCGCCTCCCGCGGGAGGTACAAAGCCGGAGCCGCCGCTGCCCGTGCGGCCGCCCAGCAGGTAAGGTAAGGAGCCGCCGAGTTCGCTCCAGCTCGGGCGCGTCCCCGCGCCGACTTTAAAACAACCCGAGCTGCTCCTTGTACTCGGCGTGTGCGATCGGCACGGCCGGCGTGGGGCTCGGTAAGCGCTGCAGGGAGCTATTGCAGCTCCGCCGAGTGTGCACTGCTGTCTGCAAACTACGAAAACAGCTAAGCTTGGTTTGCAAGTACCAGCCACTGACTTGCGATAAAGCGAGCCTCCGACGGTCCGTCCAGCCCGTGAATTTAATCTGTTAGACACCCAGATAACACGGCATTTGTACACTCGAGAGGTATTTGTAAATAGCGAGGAACGGGCAGAGCTCCTTGCTGGGCTGCCCGTATTTACATCGCGGCATGCCCGTGTTTGCCTTCCCCCCGCCCGGGGGTTTACCTTGCTCTTTGTTAGTTACAGTCAAGCCTAAACTGGCCGTTCGTCTTCAGCAAGTATGTAACTCTGACGAGTTCTGCAGAAAAGATCGCGGCGAGGCAGGGAAGAGTGGCATCTGCTCTCTTTTCTGATGTGGCAAAGTCGATGAATTGTTAAGATCTCAAACTAACTCACTTTATTGGGGTGTATTTGGGACAAGCGTTACATAATGTATGTGTGGTATGTGGATACAATGCGTGCTGGAGCTTTCCTATCGAGAATGTTTTATCTCTGATTTACATAAAATAATCATATGTTTCCATTATAACCAACTCTTTCGCTGTTTGTAACTTTAAAAAGGGAGGGGGACAAACAGTGACCGGTAAAAGGCTCAAATTCAATATGCTGTTGCCCAAAAAGTTTTCTGGGATCTTCAGCATGCAGCCTGAAACCATAGCTAAAAGAAATTTTTTTTACTAGAAGCCAGTTCTTTTTTTCTTTAAACTTTATGCAGATAATTGCTACAGGGTTTGGTTATTCTGAAAGCACTGTTATGTGCTGCAGTTTTTCAAAGTTTGGAAAAATATACATATAAAATGGCTCTCCCCAAATCACAAGTCACCACCTGCCAACCTCCATATTATGAGAGTGAGGTAGTCGGGTCTTTTGGGGGAGAGATGTGAAGGGAGGCAGTCCCAGCAGGGACTGCTCTGTAGTTATCCAGCTGAGAACGCCCTATCAAATATGAGTGACAAAATACAGATTAAACAGCTTTTAGTCTTGCCCTCTGGGGAGTTTGTAGCTGACATATACTTGTTACATGGTGTAATGTAAATAAATTGTAGGCCTTGTTCTGTTATTGGCAGTCCTTGAACTTTTTTGATATCTTTAGAAGACTGTACCAGAGCTGCTTACAGGCAGAGGGCACTTGTGTGTATCTCACAGATCACGATACAAAAGTTGGGAGCTTTGCAAACTTACTGTGTTGAAGCACAGTCCATCAGCGAAAAGGTAATCCCTAAAACCTGTGGCAGAACTTGTGGCCATCAATTCTGCCACTGCATTTGTGTGCGAGAAGCTTGAAAGCACGATTGTCTCGATGTATCCTCAGAGAATCTAATGGTTCAGATCAAGGCCAGAGTGAGGGCTGCTGGACTCACCTCTGTACTGAGCAAACTGAGCTTTTGTATGTGTATACATGTTTTACATGTGCCTTTTAAATGTTTCTGGAAGAGTAGCAGAAGTAGCTTTGGTGCAGTGTTGTTTGTGAGGGTTAATTAGCAACCAGTGTTAGCACTAGATTTTTCTCCTGGTCATTCTTGTCCAGCAGAAGCCTGTGAGTCAGTTATTGTAACTTAGGTATGTAATGACTTTCTATGAAATACATGTTCTGCTGTGCACTTAGCAAATTGTTTTAGCTGACAGTGGCTCCTCCAATAATGGAGAAGGTATTTATATATATATATATATGTATACATATATAGTTGTGTACATAGTTCTGGTGACTCTATGGTTTCCTTTTTCTGTGTTTATTTGGTACTGCTGCAGCCGAAGTGCTGCTCTTCATTTTGTTTCTCTTCATATCCAGTGAGGCTGTTTTTGATTAAATGTCATTTAAGTAGCTCATTTTAATATGGATTTAAATTTACCGTAGATATATGCAGTGTGAAAAGTGTCCTTGAATTCCAGCTCCTCAGCTGGAAGCAAGTCCTTCTCTGTTGCAAGGGTTTATCAGCTGAGGGGGGGGAGTTATAAACTGCTGGTAGTATAGAATTGGTAAAAGTTTTCAGCAGGCAGTGCTGCTCAGTACCATATAGGTCCTAGTCCTGCAAAGACCCACCCACGTGTTTAAAACTCATGTTCATTAATAGTGCTTTTGAAACCACGGAATTTCTTTTATATACATAATAATAAACATATATACAAGTCTTTGCAGGAACCAGGCTATAATACTTAATATGCACTATATTTGTGCGTGTGTATCCAGCTCAGTTACAGAAGATTTCAATAAAGGCTTAATTTTTATGCTGAGCAGATGCCATAAAAGTAGTTTTTATATCTAAATCCACTGCAAAGTACAGCATGCCTTGGCCTATTATACTTTGTGGAGTTCCATTGGAACAGATCCTAATCTTTGAAAACAAACCATTACCATGTAGATGTTCCTTCTGTGAGGAGAGAGTATGCCTATGCACAAGATTCTCTGAAGTTTTATGTGAAAATGTCTGGTTCCATTTTTAAAATCTATTGGTTTTCTATTCAGAGACTCTGTGAAAGCTGCTACCTTCACCTATAAAGTTCTTTAAAAATATATATTAAAAACTAATAATTAAACATTAGTTCCTAAAGGAAGTGAGTTAGACCTGAGCTGAAGCCCATGTTTGTGATAAAAGTATGATTTTGGTTCCACTGGCTAACCCCTATCCTTCTGTGCCTAGCACAGGGGACCTCAAAACTCTGGGCATGCAGAGCTTCCCCTCCATGTCCAGAGCAAGTGTAGCCTGTCCCGTGAGGTGCCCATCTTCTGCTTAAAGCCTTTTGGTTTGCTGTGCATGTGGAGCTGAAGAGGTGATCTATGAGGAACCATGTCACAAGCTCTAAAGGAATAGGGTTCCTCACAAATGTGGGGCAGTCCATGACTCTTCCCCTTTCCTCTGGGCTGTAGGAGGGAATTGAGGAGAACTCTGGAGTGTGGAAGGAGTTAAGGACACCAGACTACGGTGCAGCACAAAGTTATGTAGAAGGAACATGCATGTGTGTTTTAAATCGTATTTCCCAATCTGTCATGGCTGCCCTAATAAGCAGTTGTATGTGTTATAGTCATCTGTATGTGAGCACCTTCTGAGAATACCTAAGGGACTATAAACTTAGCCCTAATTACGCATAAATTTAGCCAACATTAAGAAGGTTTTCTGACCAAAGGATTTTTCTGGAGGGTGTTGGGTGTATAATGTATTGGATGGGTGATGGCGTGGGAAGAAGACAACATTGACACCCCTGATGTCCTGCAGTTATTGTGATATTCTTATTTTCTGCTCACGTGAAGAGTTTAGGTACTGAGCTTTGCTCAACACCAAGCACATCTTTTGGAAACTGAAACTCTCCTGTCTAAGTCTCAATCAGTGTCCTTATGACTAAGAATACTTTTTTTGTCAGTAACAATGTAAACCTTAAATTACCATGTGATGTAGAAAGAACTCTGAAAAGAGGGTGGTGAACATGTATGTTGGTGATCTAATAAACTATCTGAATGATGGTGTGCCAAAACTTGCTAATGATGCAAAAGTATTTGGATTAGGCAAGAATGAAGAAGACTGAGAAATTGTAAAGGGAATCCAAGAAAGCTGGGTAAAAGGGAAGCGTAGCAGATGATGTTGATAAATTCAAGAATATGCATGTTAGAGGGAATAATCAAATTACTTGTTCATGTTACTGTATTGTAAATTACCTATATTTATTAAGGTGGGGAGGAAGATTTCAACAGTGTTTTATTTGAACTTGTGCACCTTCTTAATGCTTAGCATTGAGCAGAAGAAAAATACCACAGTTGTTTTGCAATGTGTTAATGACACAAAGGATGTTATTAAACTGGTGCTCAAATTCACCTGGAATAATCAATTTGTGATCTCCTGTCAAAGAAGAGAGATTGAAAAGCATTCATATGAAATATAACTGAAAATTTTAGCATAGCTGTGTTTCAAGGTGGTCTGTTAGAGGAGGTAGGATGTATATGTGCAAAATAATGGCCATTACCCTTTTTACATAGTGCCTTGTTACAAGGAGTAGTTTGAAAGACAATGTGCGTAATACCCCTAAATCACCATTTAGGGGTTATGCAACCAAGGTGATCATATAAATCAAGAGCCTGGTAGGAGGAACAAGGTAAATGAACTGTTCTACAGATGGGATGAATAGTCACAGCTACAGCTGAAGGGATGTTAACTGTATTGCTCTAGTGCATAAATCACCCCTATCTGACAGGGATTAAGAAATTTGTCTTAGGACACATTATGCTGTGCATGCCTGCTTTGATATTTCATGTGTTTTCACACAGGGTAAGATGCTGTTAGAAACAGGATGTTGGGCCGATTATTTGACCCACTACAGTAATTCAGTTCCTATATTGAAATGTGAATTATACTGATTTTAATTACATATTAATACAGGTGGAATTAAAAGATTTATTTCTTTAAATATGTTCAGGTTTCGTGGAAAATATATGTTGGACTTAAAGTCTTTAACATGTTAAAGTTTGATGTTTTAATTTATTGAGGCATGCTCTGCTGTGGCCTGGACTGGCATAGAGGAGATCAGAAATAATGGTTAGGCTTCATTTAAAAGGCAGATAGCACTAGTGTCTGTTATTAATCAGTTTGGTTATGATGATCAGTGATTTCTATTATGTGTTCTAATGGACAAAGAATATTTTGTAGTTTGGGTAGTTAATATAAATATTTTTGGTTTCTGTAACAGAAGGATAGTTGTGTCTGGCTGGGAGAAGCATAAGGACCAGTTTCTGGAGGTAACTAGGTCTTCTGCAACTTAGTGAATCTTTCAAAGAAAATATTGTCGAAGCAATAGTGTACTAACACCATGGAATTTTTGTACAACTATAGGC